ATTACAGGCATGCACCACCACGCCCAGCTAATTTTTGTATTTTTAGTAGAGATGGGGTTTTGCTATGTTGGCCAAGCTGGTCTCAAACTCCTGGCCTCGTGTGATCCGCCCACCTCGGCCTCCCAAAGTGCTGGGATTACAGGCTTGAGTCACTGCACCTGGCCTATTTTCCCACATTTCTAAACTGTCTTCTTCAAATTTTAATCTTCCATGTACCCACAAAAATTAGAAATTGTAAATTAAAGAAAAGAAAAAAACCTTTAATCTTCTGCCTTCATAGCCATGCCAGCAAGGAGTCTACTTCCTATTTCAGTGAGAATTAAAAAGAGAAAGAAGTTCCTTATGCTCCCACGACCACATGTATGAATCTATCTGCCTATGCACCTGAATACCTGACATTCTCTCCTGTTACTATAAATAAATTGTGATATTGAGAGGTGACAACGTGCTAGCCGCCCTTGCTCACTCTCGGTGCCTCTTTGGCCTTGGTGTCCACTCTGGCCACGCTTAAGGAGCCCTTCAGCCCACCGTTGCACTGTGGGGACACGTCTCTGGGCCTGGCTGAGGCTGGAGCCAGCTCCCTCGGCTCACGGGAAGGTGTGGAGTGAGACAGGCAGGAGCCAGGGCTGCACGCCCCAGCGCTCTTGAGCTGGTGCGGTTCCGGATGGGCGTGGGCTCCACGGGCCCTACACCATAGCCAGCCAGTGCCTGCTGGGCTTGATGGGGGACGAGCTCCCTCTGGGATGCCAGAGGGCCCAGGCAAGGTGTCGCAATGTCCCCTGGCAAGTGCCAGTAAGAGGTGAAGCCAGCTGGGCTTCTGGGTCCCATGGGGACTTGGAGAACTTTTCTGTGTAGCTAAAGGATTGTAAACACACCAATCAGCACTCTGTGTCTAGCCAAAGGATTGTAAATGCACTAATCAGCATTCTGTGTCTAGCTAAAGGATTGTAAACGCACCAATCAGCACTCTGTCAAACAGACCAATCAGCTCTTTACAAAATGGACCAATCAGCAGGCTGTGGGTGGGGCCAGGTAAGGGGATAAAAGGAGGTGAACCACGCCAGCAGTGGCAACCCTCTCCTGCTGTGGAAGCTTTGTTCTTTTGCTGTTAGCAATAAATCTTGCTGCTGCTCACTCTTTGGGTCCGCACCATGTTTATGAGCTGTAACACTCACCACGAAGGTCTGCAGCTTCACTCCTGAAACCAACCAGACCATGAATGCACCAGGAGGGAGGAACAACTGTGGATGGGAGGAACTCCAGACACCGCCACCTTTACGAACTGTAACACTCACCTTAAAGGTCTGCAGCTTCACTCCTGAGGCCATCTAGACCACGAACCCACCAGAAGGAACAAACACCACCAGACGCGCTGCCTTTAAGAGCTGTAACGCTCACCGTGAAGGTCTGCAGCTTCACTCCTGAAGTCAGTGAGACCACGAACCCACCAGAAGGAAGAAACACTGGACACACCATCTTTAAGAACTGTAACAGTCACCGCGAAGGTCGGTGGCTTCATTCTTGAAGTCAGCGAGACCAAGAACCCACCAATTCCGGACACAATATTACTTAAGGATATTACTCCAGCAGTTGTCCTCTCCCCTAAAGGAAACAGTTTTCCCTACTGGACCATTAGAAAAGAAAGATATAATTCCAGTTATTTAAAAAAATGTCTCGTCATCACACATTCCTTTGAAGTTCACAAGCACTCGCTGTGGGAAAAAAAAAAAAAATTGCCCTTCTCATTGGCTCTTTCTTCTCAGTTCCTTTGTAAATTCCTTCTGACCACTCAGACCACTGACATTAGAATGTCCCAAGTAGGTTTTCTTGGACCTCATTCCTTTTGTAAATGCATTCACTTCCTAGGATCTCATCCTGTCACATGATTTGATGTATCATCTGTAAGTGACAACTACTCACTGTCAAAGTCAATCCCATATTTCTCTCCTAAAGTGAAATTAATAATACTAACTCCTTCCTCAGAATTTTCCTGTGTGTATCTAATTGGCTTCTCAAACATAACTGATCTGTAATTAACTTCAATTTCCCATTTTCCCCAAATCTGCTCCTTCCTCAGCCTTACTCATTTTACAAATGGCAACTTTGTTTCTCCATTGTTCATACCAAATTACTTGGATTATCCTTGACTTCTTTCTTTCATATGCAATCCCTTAGCATATGCTGTCAGCTAGCTCTAGCTCTTTCTTCTAAACACATCTAAAACCTGATTCCTTCTCACTCTTCCATTCTCCGTTAGTCATTCAACCTCCATTTAACTCCTAGATTACTGCAACGATCTTGCAATTAGTCTCACTTTTTCTGCCTTATCCGTGTAAAGTCAGCTGTTTCTACAACCAACACATTTCACTTTTAAAACTTAAATCTGATAAGATTCTTCTGCTCATAAACCTCCAGTAGACTATCTCACTCACAGCAAAAGCTAAATACTTACAATAACCTACAGGGTTTAGCATAATCTTCCCCTACATTACTGTTCTCATCCCCTATGATTCTTCCTCTCGTTCAGTTAATCTATATACACTGGGCTCCTTCTGTCTTTCACATACCTAAGCCTTCTTTCACCTTATAGCCTCTGTATTTGTTCTCCTCACCTTCTGAAACTTTTCTCCTTACATTAGCATGACTCACTCCCTTATTTGCTTCAGGTTCCCTGTTTACCTACATAAAATAACCAGTCTTCTCCCCACCTACCAGTCCTCCCCATTTCCTGTATCCTGCTTTATACTTCTCCATAGGACTAATCATTGTCTGACAAACTAGATATTCATTTGTCTGTTTAATTATGATTTGCCTCCAACACAAGACAATATGCTCTTTGAGAAAGAAGACTTTTTCTCTTTTGATTATTCCTATATTCTTAGCATTCAGAAAAGTGCTTGGAAAATAGCAGCGATCAATAATTTTTGAATGAATGAGTGAGTAATATTCCCTTTCAATGGTGTATATTCTCTTTGCAAAACGTATTAACAATTATTGTGTATTCAGGAACATTGACAACACCAAGAGGATGTCTATTTCTAGAGCAATGGCTTTCAAAATTTGGGAGTAGGTGGTGAGAAAGGGTGTGATATCATCCTTACACTAAAACTTCTATTTAGCTTGTATATATTCACAAACAACCAAAAACTATCAAAATCTCTTTGAGCCTTCCTCTTTGAACATTGAGAAAAGTCTTAGACTTGCTATTAATACTTCATGAGCCAGATGGCGTTAGCAAAATGATGGTTGCTCTGGACCAAATTGTGCCCCCCCAAAAAACTCAGATGTTGAAGCCTTAGCCCCCAGTATGATGGTATTTTGATGTGATCCCTTTAGGAGATAATTAAGGTTGAATGAAGTAATGAGAATAGGGCTGTCATAGTAGGATTAGTGGCTTATTAAGAAAAAGAAGGAGAAGAAGGAAGACTTGGAGTAGGGGAAGATATTTCTCTGCCTAGAAAAGGACACGGCAAAAAGGCAGCAATCCATAAGTCAGAAAAGAAGGCCAGGAACGGAATTGGCCAGCACCTAGATCTTGGACTTCCAACCTCCAGAACTGTGAGAAATAAATGTCTGTATTTAACAGGTCTATGGTATTAATATTTTGTTATAACAACCCAAGCAGCCTAATACAATGATCATGGCTAACTACTGGGTTGTTAAAGGGTTGCCATGTAACAATAGTTTAAAGAGAGTCAGGCAGAAAAACATAGTTTTAATATTGTCTTTACCATATCTTAATAATTCATAGATTAATTCTGGATTAGATTATTATACATTTGGATATTCATTGTATACCATGTATCAGCCGAATAAAAGCGCTTGTCCTAACCTTAGGCGTTATTTGGCATAAGCCTCTAGATATATATTCACACATAAGGACTAGATGCAGAGACTATAGTATTGACTATTTCTATTTTGCTGTTCTGAAACATGCAAAATGTCATTTATTGATGTTACTGAAAATTTCTTGGTCCCAGATGTCATTTATCTTGTACTTCCTAATACTTTCTCCTAAGTTAATGCTGGTTTTCACTGAATTAGTATTCTATAAATATCTGTTGAATGAATGGACAAATGAATGGATCACATGAAAACAAAAGATTTACTTTCTGTAACTATTTTTTAAAAATACAAAACACATCTTTTTATCATTATATAATCTCTCTTTCCATAATGTAAAATATACAATTAATGTTTTTTAAAAAGATGTCATCTAGTTCACTAAAGTGAAATATTTCCTGTTCCAGTAACTTTTTAATGTCATTCACTTACAAAAGCTCCCATTGGGATTTGGGTGATGTACTATAATTTAGAATAAAATAGGACAGAACAAAATGAAAGCCTTCTTTGTAAAATTTGCTTTTTACTTTGTAAAAATTGCTTTGTTTAACCTTCTAATGAATCACGAATATTAATCTCATGCTAGAGAAGAAGAAATTGGGGCTTTGAGGAAGTAACTTGCCCCAAATGGTAGAGAGAGTATCCAAATTAAGGATCATCTGACTTCATTTTCCTTTCACAACAGCAAGCTGCTTCCAAGGCCTTACTTCTCTCCTTTTCTGACATAGATACAAATATAGATACGTATGAAGTCTCTTCCAGAATTTTCCTCAGATAGGGAGGAGAGGAAAGTTATGCTCAAACCTATCTTCTCCTGGAAATATCTCTAATTTAATCCATATGATCTTATTTTAGTTTCCATTTAAAATAAGCTTCACTATTTCTGAGCTGAATTTTTACTCTATTCCACAATATTATCACTTATCCATGTTTTACTTGGCTCCAAGTTCCTCATTGGCATGGTCTCCTTAGATTTTAAACTTTAAAACACAATATATATTCCATATATGTGGAATATATGTGATATATATTATACAATATATGTTAATTACATATATGTAATTATTTCTTTCTGATTAAAAGAAAACATGTTCCTTAAAGATAAAGAAAAGCACAATCAGAAAAACTAAATTCACTTGTCATACAACTACCCAGAAATAAACACTATGAACATTTTGGTGTTTTCAGTCTCATATTCTATACATATATTTGCACATTAATATACACTTTTATTTCCAAAATTGTTTCATAGTTTCATACTCTACTTATTTTATATCTGTCTCTACATTTGATTATGTCATGTTATTAAATTCATCTTGTCATCTTATTGTCCATCTATATGCATGAAGGAGATAAATCTGGTGTCTCTATGCATCTGTGTTTGTATGTGTGTGTGAATATGCATGTGTGTATATATGTGTAAATGCATGTGTGCATATGTTTGTGTATGTGCAGCAGTGTGCTGGAACTGGTTTGTGCCAGTGAGAACTGTGTGAGAATGAGTTGTGAGTATTTTTTTCCTTGATTCACTTTCAATTAAGTCATGTGGGTAGTTTGAAAACCATGGTGGGAATAGCTACATCTGGCAAATAGGCAGTTGTTATAAATCAGGGGTTTTAAGTTTCTTAAATTCCAGAGAATCACTTTTTCAGCCCACAGCTAGGTTTGGATGTAAAGCGTATGCTAACATAATAAAATAAAAGAAGATTCCTATACTTTCATGTTCTAGAAACTTATACAAGGCACATACATTATCTGTTGCCTGATACTGAGAAACAGGATCTCTAATACATTGCTGATGGTAAAGTAAAATGATATACCCACTCTAAAAAAACAATATAACACTTTTAAAGTAGACATTCACTTACCATTTGACGCAGCAGTTGTACCCTTGGGAATTGTTTTCCAGAGAAATGTAGACACATTTCTGTATAAAAACATATACATAAATGTTAGCATCAGCTTTAGTCATAATAGCTTCAAACTATAAACAACTGTAATATCCTAGTAAGTGGTTAAGGAAACTGTAGTGCTTCCATATCATGGACTACTACTCCACAATAAAAAGGAATGGGTTATTGTTGCATACAATCACTTGGCTGAATTTCAAGAGAATTATTCTGAGTGAAAATAGGCAGTCCCAAAAGTTCACTAAATTTTGATACTCATTATATGGCATTCTTGAAATAACACGGTTGTAGAGATGGAGAACAGATTAGTGGTTGTGAGGGGTTAGGGATGAGCTAGAGAAAGAGGCAAGAATGAGTATAAAGAGATAGTATGAAGGAGCCTTCTGGTGATGGAATGATTCTGTATTTTCTCTATCATAGTGGTAACATGGGTCTACACATGTAGGAAAATTGCATAGAACAAATTAATACATGTAAAACTGGTTAAATTTGAACAAGAGATGTGGAATGTATCAACATCATTTTCCTAGGAGTTATATGTTACTATGAGGGAAACTGAGTCAAGAGTAAATAGGTCCATTCTGTATATCTTTTTATTATTTGTTGTAGAGCTATAATTTTTCAAAAGAGTTTTTTTTTTTAAAAGAAACCTGGTGCATTTACAGAGATTTTATGTGCATTTGTTTGCTAATAGGGTTATTTTGCTAATATTGCCATAACAAAATACCATAGTCTCAGCAACTTAAACAACAGAAGTTTATTTTCTCACAGCTTTGGAGACTGGAATTCCAAGATCAAGGTGCTAGTACATTGGGTTTCTTCTGAGGTCTCTCTTCTTGGCTTGCAGCTAGTCACCTTCTTGTTGTGTCTTCATATGATCTTTCTTGTGTGCATGTGCTTCTGGTGTCTTTCCGAGCACCCAGATTTTCCCTTTATATGAGAACACCATTAAAATTGAATTAAGACCCACCTTCATTGCCTCATTTTAACTCAATTGCCTATTTAAAGGCCCTGTTTCCAATAATATCTCATTCCGAAGTACTGAGGGTTAGTGTTTTAGCATGTGACCTTTGGGGAGAAGAGACACAGTTCAGCCCATACTACTAAAAAACCATAGAGAAATAGATTCCCTATTTCTCACAATAGATTCACAAGAGATAAATGTCTTATATTGTCATCAAATGTCAGTTTGAATCTAGAGCAACACTAGAGGCTGTGCCTGGAGATTAAGCCATTTATGGTCAGTGGTTTTTCTTTTTTTTCTTTTTTGCTTGTGTGTTGCTCAGAAGAAAAATCCTAAAGTTACCTCCTTAAAAAATAATTTATATTGATGCTATTTTTCTATTCTACTCAATGAGACAACTAATCCAAAATTATAGGTGAAAGTCTGGCCAGTGTTGGGGTGATTCATTTCTTGTAGCCAACTTATCAGGAAAATTGCCCGCTCACCCAAGAATTCATGGTTGTCTGGATAATCTCACCAAAGTGTAGGGGAACCCACAACCCTGATGTCTGATGCTCACTGTCTCCCTTGTAACTACTGCAGATTCCGGTGAGAAACCACTTTCATTTATGTGTTATTTCTTTGAGTCATTAAAACATCATTTTGTTTTTCTTTTCAACAGTATGCTTTGTCTTACATGTCATGTTAAAAGAGGAAAAATGAATGCTCCCTGATATTTTTAAGTAAATATAATTTGTGGCCTGACCTTAGCTTGCATCTCTTTCAACTGCATCTTGTTAACATTCTCTTCTCAGGAATTGATGGGTACACTCTCAGTTCAGACCTCTGTCTTTCTGTCTTTCATTTGAGAATGCATCATTTGTCTGCCTTCAGCATTTGTTCTTAGAACTGTTTCTTCTAGAATGACATGGACACAGATCCCCATAATCCTAATCCTATCCCACAATTTCTACCCACTTGATTTCCAGGCAACACGCACATATGTGTGTGTGTGTGTGTGTGTGTGTGTGTACATATGTATATATGTGTATATATATATCTACAAAAGTAAGAAAGGGGAAAAGGCAAACATTATTTTGACCACCTTACAAATCTGTACTTTATCTCCCAACATCTAAAATTGTTTATTTATCAGAATATCTGTAGCCAAAAGATATTCCTTGAAATATCAGGTCATGCAGTTTCCTCATAGCGTCACATCTCTCCATCCAGCAAACATTTTGAGTGTTTACTGTATGTCTGTCATTTTCTTGGTATGAACAGATGCTGACCATAAGAATAAAAACATTTTTGACATCCTTTGTCAAAAATATACATGATAAATCTTGTATTCAATGACATGATTTATAGTTAGAAAAGATAATTGTTAAGTATTTAAGAAATAGTTTTAATTGAAAAATTATTTTGGCTTATCTTCACCCAGTTTTAATATCGGTGAAAGATATCTTCTTTTTTGTGCACTGTGATTTATATATACACATGCACACATAATATGGTATTTATCATGCTTCTTCTGTGAAGAAATGTAAACAACACCATTCTCAGCTTAAGTTTTCCAGCCATTTAACTTGATGGTCATTCCATGTTTAGAAACACCAAGCATGCCAAATTTAAGGTTTTGACAGAAATACAATATTTGCTATTTGTTGGTGTGATCATCTATCTGAAATTTGAAGTATCTTTTCTACATATAAAGAAGTTATATAAGCATCATCAACATTATACTAGGCACACATACATATAGAAATGGCCTGTGATCTAGAACACACAGTGTTCCATTCTTACTCCATTTCTGATTCTCTGAAAATCTGCATTTGTTGTGGCTTATAACTATTGCGACAAATTAAAGTCCGCACTAAACAGCAGATTCACGAGAGATAAATGTTTTATATTGTCATCAAATGTCAGTTTGAATCTGGAGCAACACTAGAGGCTGTGCCTGGAGATTAAATTAAGCCATTTGTGGTCAGTGATTCATTGTTCTTGTCTAAGAAACAATGACATATTGAAAAATGAACTGATTCTCTGCCTCTCTCTCTCTCTCTGTTTCTTTGATTCATTGTACTAGCATTTTGTCTCTCCTTCATATTTAATTAGTTACATTGCAATAAGCAGAGAACGAACTTGATTCTTCTAGTAATTTCGTTCTATTTGTCAATCTACTTAGTGTGTATTTAAAAGATACAGATTTCAGTACAAGAATCATGTCAAAATCATTTGGCATTTAATCAATTTATCAAATGTATATCAAATACTTTTTCTAACAGAAAAATATGTACAGATCGGGCCAAACTGACACTGGAAAAAGGAAATAGGAACAAATTATTTGTTAATAAATGAAAAGATAAATAATTTGTGTTTTAGATTATTTCATATACAGTATTTTTCTGTAAGAATTATAATTAAGAATTTTAAAAAAAGTTGATGTTTTAAATAAATACCTCAAAAAGAACAATTTAAAAGATAATTGAAACTCTTCACAAAAACTGTGTTGTTTAGAAGCATCTTCTTACGACCAGAACTTAATGAAAAATAATGTAGCAATAATTTTATATTCACTAGCACTTGTCAAATTTTAAAGCATATTCATAATCATTTCCATTCAAGTAGAAGATAGTCATTGCACTCTACAATTTTCAAAAAAATTAAGTGTGTAGTTTCTCAACATCATATGCAATTTAAATTCAACCTAATGACATCAACTGGAAAAAAAAAAAAAAGATGTTCGTCTGATTTTCCTTTATATCCTTTTCATTATTGAGCAAGAACCATCATATTCTTTAACACTGAGCAAATATATCAGACTCACTAAAAAGTAGAAAAATCTAAAAATGGAGTTACTAATAACCCATAAATACATTGGTTAATACTGGTTTATAGATCATTATTTTAAAGAGAACCCTAAAATTCTGAAAGGACATTCCCTACCTACCATTGCACCTTTATGTCCTAAACTCCAAACATCACTGCTACCAAGTCAGATGGAATTACTGGATTTAGATGGTAGTTTTCTCTTTCTGGAATATGGACTTAAAATATTATATTAGAGTACAGATTATGTTAAGGGTAACATCATAATACTATATATTGCTTAAATGTTTGTGTGTTTTATTTAGGAAGTTTACTTTTGAAATGAATATAGTGTATGTAGTTCACATCGGAACCAACCAAGAGCATTAACACAATGCACTATACTATAAAATCCTTGTGTTTTATTAAATACACACTTGAGCACATATTTCAAATATTGTCCGTATAGTCCAATGTCTGCCAGTTGGTGCAGTTGCGAAATGTAAAGTTTAATATTTGATCTTTAAATTTGTTTAATAATCAAGGATTATGTTTTGTCCATTTTATAACAAGGGCAGAATATGAAATAAATTGTTTTTAATTTTATAAAACCCAAACATCGAGCAAGATGGCCAAATAGGAACAGCTCCAGTCTCCAACTCCCAGCGAGAGCGACACAGAAGACCGGTGATTTCTGCATTTTCAACTGAGGTACTGGGTTCATCTCACTGGGGAGTGCCAGACGATCGGTGCTGGTCAGCTGCTGCAGCCCGACCAGCGAGAGCTGAAGCAGGGCGAGGCATTGGCTCACCTGGAAAGCGCAAGGGGGAAGGGAATCCCTTTTCCTAGCCAGGGGAACTGAGACACACAACACCTGGAAAATCGGGTAACTCCCACCCCAATACTGCGCTTTAAGCAAACAGGCACACCAGGAGATCATATCCCACACCTGGCCGGGAGGGTCCCACACCCACGGAGCCTCCCTCATTGCTAGCACAGCAGTCTGTGATCTACCGGCAAGGCAGCAGCGAGGCTGGGGGAGGGGCGCCCGCCATTGCTGAGGCTTAAGTAGGTAAACAAAGCTGCTGGGAAGCTTGAACTGGGTGGAGCTCACAGCAGCTCAAGGAAACCTGCCTGTCTCTGTAGACTTCACCTCTGGGGACAGGGCACAGTAAACAATAACAAACGCAGCAGCTCTGCAGACGCAAACGACTCTGTCTGACAGCTTTGAAGAGAGCAGTGGATCTCCCAACACGGAGGTTG